AGGATTATTTCCGCCTTTGGTCGCAATTGGAATCTATGAAATTATATTAGGACTCCTTGATGGGCCATATTGAAGGCATACACCAAAGAAATAAGGGTAGACGAAGATGGCTGGCTGGTTGTTGTGAAGGAGATCTGGGCGGAAAAGGTGCCCGTGCCGTGGCAGCACCTGAGCAAACTCAATTGCATGTTCGTTCTTGTGAAGGTTGTTGTTTGGCTGCGTAAATCAACATGACCAGAGAAATGCGCACGAGCGTTCAAGGTCAGAGGAGTTCACCAACCAAAAAAACAAAGACCTGCAACTAAAGACAAGTCCAAGACTGCCAGCTCCAGGGAACACATTGAGATCCAGCTACCAAGGCAACATGTAACGGTTTGTTGTCTTGTCCAGGGACCAGCGCGCTTGGCGCGTGTCTGCTGACGATGCACGAACAGCTGCAGGATACCAATCTACTTACGCAAACAAATCATGCATATGTGCGCCAGTCAGAATTCATAAGCGAATAGCCCCATGAGATTCTAGTTCCGACAGCATGGGCAAGCGGGCGAGCCCTTAAATACGATCCAGGTCCGCGGACCCCAAGCCTTTTCCCATGCTCTTTCGTTGGATCTGTATGGAGCCCCATCCCCTGGCATCCACATCCGCTCATTTAATACATTTGCACGCTCAAGAACCCAACACTGCGGTTCTCAAGAACGTCAAGCCAGCGCGTTCCCTGAACTCTGAAGACTCCGCGGCGCTGGGGGCAGGGAAAGTGGGGCTCCTGGGTGTAGGTCGCATTGGATCCCGCGTACCAAGCACCGAAGGCCTCCAGTTGGGAGAGCCCAGACTGCGGATCCACGGGCCGCTCGTTGAAGCTGCAGTGCCGGGAGCAGCCTTAAGCACCAAAAACCCATGTCCAATGCAAAACACATCCACATAAAATCACATAAATGAAGAAACATTGGGTAAACATGACTTGAACAAACAATTGCAAGAAGCACTCGATTCGGCTTGCAGTATTTGTCTGCGCATCATCTCAACGCAGGGGAATGTCAGCTATGCACGGCAAACACTTGTTTTGTGCTGAAAAGGCAATGGCACAATTGAAATGGGCACAACATTAGATCCTTCAATTTTGACAAAGCCCACCATGGCCAAACCGTCCCTGTTCAATCGCGCCCAAGTTTGAGTGATGAGGTGCCAGGCCCCTAACATGTGGGTGCCGGGATTGGGGAAAGTCCCATTCCAGCAAAAGAAGTGGCTTGCCAAAAATCCTGGGTTCAGCTTTCTCTCCAGCTGTGATGAGCCCTCTCCTGAAGCACCCACCCCCTGAACAGCTTCACGCAAACCCTTCAAGAGAAAGGGGAGTGGGGGTCCGCGCAAGTCGCAGGAAACCCATTTCAGGGTGTTTGCGGATCGTTCGGACGTGGAACTATGGATCGTGCAGCAAAGAAGACAAGTGGCTGTCAAGGAAATACCCATGGGGATACGTCAAATAAGTTTGCATGGCCTTGGTCATGTTGGCCGCATACTCCTGGATGCACTCGTTGGAGTTGCGACAGGCCTCATCCATCTCGCATTGATGCTGATCGTCGTCGTAGCGACTTTGAAGAGCGAAAGTTGGGGTCTGCAAGTAAGCAGCGACCACGTTGCCGACTAGGCACTTCTCTTCTGCCCCGTCGTACTGCTTGACGCAGTCCTGATTCAGCAGCGCCGTCGCCTCCGAAGCATTCTGAAATCTGACGTGCGGCCAGTTTTGACACGTGGCGCCATGACATGATATGTTGATGTCTCAAACATGCAAAAATCCGTTTGGGGGCGTGTCACGGAGCCAGCATTTGAAGCCACCCAAATCCGCTTCCACCCCAAAGGCCTGCTGCTCCGTCACGACATACCTCTTCAAAGGGGTGAAGATCTGCTTGTCCATGTAAAAGCCGCTGTCAGGCAGGCCTACGACCTCTGCAAAAGCCGGTCACTCAGACATTATCGTGTCCCGAATTTGCCAAAGAGAAGCACCGTACAAAATCTAAACCAGCTCTGGGCCCCGCTATTCTGACACATACCCAAGAAATCTATACCTGCTGCAAGTGGAGAGTGCATTCGGTGTTTGCAGGCTAACACGAAGCCGCTGGTTGCCAGCGTTCGTTGGACCGTGAGTCCTAAAACAAGTAGTGGACCATGGCTGTGGAAAATATCCCTTTCTGTGGTGATTGATTCTCATGACTTCCTTGTCACTTTAAAGGGAACTTCCTCGGCATCTCTAAAACTGGCCCTAAAACTCTATGCTCCAACACCATGCAGTGGACCAGCAAGACTTCTCGCGCAAGGAATTCTCGTCACGAATCCAGACATGTTGCCTAGCGCCCAGGTGGTGTCACCAAGCAAAGATGAATGAGCGTGACTTGACTACTGGGTCGCATCCTTGATTCAACTGGTTAGATACGTCCCGATTCTATTCGAATCCTACAAGCATTCCCAGCAATATGACTCTGGAATGACCTTGGACGACTAAACGTGGACGCTGGTCGTTTGCCCCCACGAAGCGCTCAGGAACCAGTAAGGTGTTCTTCTACCAAAATGTCAGGGCTTCTGTAAGCCTTCTTCCATACGGAAGAACTTCTCCCGACGGATTGGCTACTTTTCATTGGATCCCCACCTTGGCGCTGCGCGGCGCCATCTCCTTCATCGCATCCAGGTGCGCGAAGATATGGATGGCCCCGGCGCTGCAGCCGCTAAGTACCACATCCGTGGCATTGCTCATGCCCCTGTTCTGCAGGTCGGCGAAGAGCGCCATCGTGATGTACCTTGCCAGAACCATGCCTTTTGAAGCAGCCGAATCAGACTTTTACAAAGGACACTTGCCAATAAGGGTATTGAGAAGTCACTGGGGTCTCAAAGAATCCCCTTGCAGACCTTGCCGGACCATTGGCATGCCCCTCACTGTCAAGCCGCAGCAGCAACAAAAATTAGGCCAAACTTGAACAAAGGACAAAACCTCTCCCCTGTTGCCTGAAATGCACAAGAGCGGCGGAGCGTACAGGGATCCAACCTTCTGAGAGGGTGTGTACAACACCAACACAACTTTCCCCCTCCCTGCGTCAGCTCATCTTGAGGCATGAGACTGGCGGAGCTACCTTGCTTTCCAGCTAGGACCAATGCGGGTAAGACAAGTGCCCAGATTTCTCAAACGTTTAGCCCATAGCTCCTGCCTCAAGTTACCAGAAGCCAGGAACTGCCACCAGCACCGAATGGATCTTGCCGAATCAGCAACACCGATGTTGAGTTCAGGCGGATAAGCGCAGAAGGCTCAAGCCACAGTTCACGTCTTGCTGGACTTTATCTTTGGCGCTTCTCAGTGACCTTCCAATTGTTTGTGGCTCTGACATCCGGCTCTGCCATGGCTTGTGTTGCTAAGCAATTCTGTGTGTACCTCCTCAACAGGTCGCGCCGATCAAGCCCCAAGCCCTCGCCTCCCGCGGAAGTAGAGTGGCAGACCGCTGACGTTCTTCGGCTCCTTGCAGGGCCATGGCCAAACGCGAAGTGAATATCAACGCGACCGCCTTGTTGGGGTGGCATATGGGTATTCATGCTAAGTGGGGACCCTTTGGTGGACATTTAGGTGGGAATTCATGTCCGCCAACCACTTTTTGAGAATGTTGCTACAGTATCATTCGACATAGGTCTGCTGGTACAGCAGCATGACCATCAGGATATTCTCTAATATATGCTCGCTCGCTGCCCATAGGGCCATAGGGGGCTATCATGGGACAGCTGGGTTGGATACGCCAAGCCCTTTGCAAATTTTGGGGTTTCAACGCGCGTTCTTTAAACACAGCGAAACACGGGGTTGCAAGTGGCCAATCAAACCAACATGTCTGTTCGGATGCCAACACATAGGTTTGTCCCAACTGGGGATGGTTGGCTTCCAATTGACTTCCCTAACCAAATGGTTTCCCACCGCCACCCATATCGAAATTGGTTCGGCCCCGTTGTTCCAGCTTCCTTGTGCCTTTTCCGGCCGCGCCTCGCGAGAGCCCGAGTAGTAGGCGCCGTCGCAGTATCTCACATAGACGTGATTCCAGTTGTGCATAGGGTTCTCCCCCGCATTGCGGGAGAACTTGAGATTGTCCAAGATCTCCAGATCCTTCTCCTCAGCGTCCTCAAAATAAATCACAGGAACACCGGGGATCCAAATGGGTAGCTTTCCCATTGGTTTTCGTTTAAACCAAGCTGAAAAGTGTACCCTCAAAAGGTAACCATGCCAATGTGTATGTCGTCAGTCTGCTCCTGTCCTTGCCAGGTTCTGAAGAGAAACGTGCTATTGGCATACGTTATGGTAGATACGTTTTGCATGCTGACATTGATGCTGTCTTCTGGGTGTGTCCTGTCTGTGTGAAGAGGTCCCTCCCAAAATAATTAGCCACTAAGTGATGCGCCCATCTTACGAAGCAATTCAATCTCACCGGCATGTTTGCGATCAAGTGAGAGCAGTTTCTGCGAAAGGGGCCGGCGTCACTATGCGGAAAGCCTTGAGAATACTGTGTTTTTCATTTTCGGGTTTTTGCGGGGCTGAGAGTGGATGCCTGGGATGCAGGCTTAGTCTGATTGGGTTTGGGCGTGCGCCGCATGCAGCGCACACGCGCACACGCGCGCTAGGGTGGGTGGGAATGGGTGGGAATGGGTGGGAATGGGTGGGAATGGGTGGGAATGGGTGGGAATGGGTGGGAATGGGTGGGAATGGGTGGGAATGGGTGGGAATGGGTGGGAATGGGTGGGAATGGGGATAGAACCTTCGATTCTCCTGGTGCTCCTCTTTTCCCGTGAGGTTGCTGTGCTCACCCAGCTCCCCTCTCTCCATGCTGGCAATCTTTCCGAATGGGGTTGTTTGAATGGAACGCCTACCACTCAACATCTCAAAGGAAACGCAACACCCGCTGCGCTCCCACCCAGCACCCACCCACCCACCCCACCCACCCTCCCACCCCGCACCGCCCGCCTTCCCATTCCATTCCCATTCC